GGTGGACACGGCCGTGCTTTTTCTCAGCCCTGCCCGTGTTTTCAGCTCGAGTTTGCCAAACTCAAATCAGCTCTCGGCAGTAAAAGCACGGCCTAGGAACACGGCCGTGTTCTGTTTTAGGTGTGCCCGTGTTTTGGCTCCAGCTCCACCGAATGACTTCCGAATGCGCCGAAACTCGTGCTTAGCCTTTCCTTTGACGCCTGGGACCTGAAATATGACAAAATAGCACAACCCGACGTAAAATAGGCCAAAATACACGACTATGCCCATCAAACGGATAAGAACTAGGGGTGCAAATACGTGCAATTACATCGTTATCAAAAGGCCGGTCCCTCCGATATTGATACATTGTGATAGTACCACAGCTATCGCTAAAGTTGAGAACCGGTTCTATAACGAAAAGAAACAACAGATTAGTCGTAAGCATAGTACTGTAAGAGAACTCCTAACGATAGGAGCAGTGCGGGTGGATCATTTAAGATCCGAACAGAATCTTGCTGATCCTTTGACGAAAGGATTACCTAGAGAGAAATTCCAGAATACTGCTAAGGGTATGAGATTTATGCCTACCGAACCACGGACTACAAGTGATGGTAACCCGACCCAATAGACTGGAGATCCCAAGAAATGGGTTCAATGGGTAATAACAAGTCATGAGTAGTATGCGAAAAGTTCGTGCATAGTGAAGCATGAATCCCAAAGCAATAGAGGTTGAGTTAACAACTCTTAGTGAGATCTATACTCTATGTGGGGTAGCGTACTTTACTTTTGGGGTACTTCTGATAGACTCACCTATGTGAATGTGGGAGTGGGGCCGCTCCCTATGGAACTTAGGAGGCACAAAGTTGCTAAAGCGTTCACTAAACCAGGATAACGTGCATGGCCATAAACGCACGGGCTAAGAAGAGAACACAACTCAATGAAAAGATCTGGTGTGTTACACTGTCTTAGATAGGGTTCAAGGCTACGAGTCACCCTTATGAAATCGGAAGTGTAACCACTACGCTAAGGTTCAAATCTTCGTGATACCTTAGCTTATGCCCGATCTTATGGAACTGTTGATGCTTAGAGATAGTTTCAAAACTTTCAAGTGGGGGATTGTTGGAAATGAATAGCTTTGAAAGTTATAGTGCCTCAAGGAAGAAAAACCACCACATTGGTAGTTTTACTTTGGTGAAATGTGTATAAAGATAGGAGCCTCTCTCCTAAGGGCATGCCCCTTGGGAAGACCCACTTTTGTGGGAGAGGGGGACCTAAAACAGGTGGCATCATCAAAGAACACCACATGACCCGCCTGTGACTAGACGAGCTGAAAGAAGCTCGCTGAGTATGGACCTAGTTACCATCCTATCCTTGGGCTTTGCTTCCATTCCTTGGTGCTTCTCAGCAGGTAAACTCTCAAATGGACTATCTTAATTCTAGATTTGATAGACATCTAAGTCAATTATTTGAAGTGGTTAATAAAAGCAGAAGTGATTTTGATGAGTCTAGAAGGTTTTTAACCACACTAATAATCCAATCCAAAGCTCTGCCATTAGATGGAGGGAATTCAAACCCCCAGTATCAATTCTGGAAATTTTAGTTCATCTCCCGGCGGTGGCGGAAATGGTCAGCCGCGACAATATAAATTCTCCCCGCCGATGACAAACCAACCAAACCCTCACCGCATGAATCGCGGTGAGATTCCAAACACTACTCAAATGGAGGGGATACCCAATGTGGGAGTTGAAGAAATTCCCCCACGTGGTGAGAATTTGAGAGTCACACTTTCTGCTCCAGTGGAACCGCCACCCATACGCCATACCCATACCAGTGGAAATGCCTATACGGTGCCTGCTCACATGGGAGGGGGAGTAGGCTTAGGTGGGGGAGATCAAGTTCCTTCGAGGGCATACCCAACACCCATGCCACCCGATTTCAATGGGTATGGCATGGATCCCATGGGGTTCGTACCCCAAGGGTGACAACAAGGGGGGGGGGGGCATGATCCCAACACTCTAAGGGACCAGGTGGCTCAACTTCTTGTCGAACAATTCGGCATGGGAGTGAGACCGACCATGCCACCTGTTTATCGAAAATCATACCCTGAGTGGGTGAATAGACTCTACCCATTCCCAAGGGGGTTCAGGGTGCCCGAGTTTGCCACATTCACCGGAACAGGGGACAGTCTACTGTGAAGCACATTGGACATTTTACTGTCCAGTGTGGGGATGTAGGAGACTTTATTAAGTTAAGAGTATTTGGAAACTCATTGACATGGCCTAATTTTGCTTGGTATGTCAACTTTCCATCCAACTCCGTCCAAACATGACAGCAGATGGAGCAAATCTTTCATGCTCAGTTCTATAGATCTGAGTGTGAGGTTTCTATAGCTGATTTGGCACGAATGCATCAAGAGATAGGGGAATCGGTGGAGCACTTCTTGACAAATTTCAAGAATTCTTGTAACCGTTGCTTTGTCAACTTTACGGAGAGAGAGTTTGTCAAGTTAGCACAAGGGGGGGGGGGGTTGAGTTTTGAGTTACGAAAGAAATTCTAAAGATAGAGAATTTTTTTGACTTTTTCCAACTCATGTCTTGTGCGGTGAGATATGAATCTCTTCTTCAAGAAGAGGAGAATAGGAGGAGTGCCTCAAGGGGGCCATACTTCCTCAACATCGGCTACCCTGTTAACCATAATGGCCAAGAGGCCAATGAGGTGGAGGTAGATCTGGCTGATTTAACTCCAGGGAAGCCATATGTATGTGCTCCCCTGGCTAAGATGGACAATAAACCACAAGGGGGTAGACCAAATCGTGCCCCCATCCAGCCAAGAAAGTATTCTTTCGATATCTCCACAGCTGACTTGATTTTTGACAAACTCTACAAAGATGGTCAAATCAAGTTGACAGGGGCATAACATCCCACTCCCTGAGAAGTTAAGAGGGAAAACATATTGTAAGTGGCATAAAAACATGCTACACTCCACAAACTCATGTGTGGTTTTTCTCAATATATTGAAGGATGCCATTGAGAAGGGTCGCATCAAGCTACCCGAGCCAAAGAGAGATGCCATGCTGGTGGATACCAACCCGTTTCCCAACGTGATTGGTGTCAACATGGTGAACCCAGATTTTTCCAAGATTGAGCTTCCCCATTTCAAACTGCTGTTGGATACAATACCATAACAAGGGACCCCCAATGTGGTGTTCGAGCATGGGGAGTCATCGAGGGGTACGCAGGCCAACTCAGCCGCATCTAAGGTGTCAAGTGAGCCGAAGAAGCTTTGTACTCAATGCAAAAGGAGTCTTAGACCTGATGAAGTGAGACCGAATCGATCAGTCCAACAAAGAATTGGTCCACCCCATAGGATGAGATACCCACCTTGTCAAAGACAAAGAGAGGGGGTCATTCAACCGGTTTGGGGGCAAATAAGGCAATGGGTACCTCATGACCCTCTTCTCATGAAAAGGAATTTCAAGATACGCAATGTGCCACAAGGTGGGTAGCATACTTATGGCATGGATGCATTGTCAACAACCAGTAGCTATTGGGGGGGATGACGAAGACTCAAAGGAGGAGATTCCTGTTTAAGAATGCTAAAGCACATCGGAAACAATATCCAGTGGAACATGTTGGGTTGGTAGAACCATCACAACAAAATGATGATGTTCAAGATAGTATCAAGGTGGCCAACTCTAAAACCACGAGTCTAAAAGTAACAGTGACTGACAAGAGAAGTCATGTCCAAACCCAAAGTGATGTTATGGGCCACAATGGGTTGGGGGATAGATTACAAGAGGAAAGTGATGGGTATGATGATGAGATTGATGAGTATACTGGGAAAGACGTGCTCATAGATGAACTTGTGTAGAGTCGTCTCCTTTGAACCTCCATAACCATGTGGTGTATGGTTGGCTTGTTTGGTTTAATCCATTGACTTGACAGTGGGTTCATACCTTTGGCATGTTGGTTATTGCCAAAAGGTATGAATATCAATGATACTTGTAACTATATGTAAGAAAAAAAAAGTAAAAAAAATAATATTAATATAGAAAAGCCAATCATGGCTATATATATAAAAATGCCAAAGTGGCAAGTTTCCGTAGGATTGGTAGGTTTCGATGTGAGGATCTTGACACGACTGGTAAGTCTCAATCACTACTCATATAGGTCATTAAGGTGGTTTAGCCATGCCAAGCTTTAAAATCTTGCTAAGGTGTGAAACATACCCCCATGGTATAACATGACATGGAGGGGTTGATGGTTGGTGGCATACCTGATGTTTAGTAGTAGTTGTGATTAACTAGGGGGATGATGTTTTTGGCTCCAATAACTTCAAAAGATACCGTGCCACGTGGTTTAAGAATGACCATGAGTGTTGGTGGTCACATTGGCATGAGGGGCACAGTTGTGTCGAGGTGGAAGAAGCACTGTGAGGGGCAAGATGATCATGCTAAGAGATTTAAAAATATTTTAATGCCAATGAAAGATTCAGGTGATGAATTATCTTGCAAAGAGAAGGAGATTAAGAGTCCTTGCCAAACATGAAAAGGGTTTGTTTCTCATCATCATTGTTATCAAACAAATAACATTGTGTGGAAAAAATATTTTGGCCTTGTGGCCGAAACTACTTTAGTGAGAGATAAGTGTTTTTATTTTATTTTATATAATCGGTGAGAGATAACTTTATACCCTGTTCACTTCCCATTTCATTTTCTGTTTTTTGGTTAAAAAATGAAAATCAGGAAACAAATGGACATAAAATGGGTTCACTTGACCATTCCATTTTCCTTGGAAAAACCCAATTAATACAATTGGGAAAACCATTAATACTCGTTTTCTGAATAGAATGGGACGGGTTATCCCCCCGTTTCCCAGCGGAAAACGTACTAATCCCTCCACCCGACCCGCGTTCGATTCACCAGGGACGCATTTTTTTTCCCCGATTTTTTGCCCTCCTAAAGCACTGCCGTTTTGCCTTCCCCCCCCCCCCCCCCTCCTAGCCTGCCCTCCTAAACCCTAGAGGAGAAATCTTCCTCTCCTCTGCCACACCTCGCCGATTCCTCCAACAAACCCGCCGCCCTCCAGCATCTTCCTCTCCTCTGCCACACCTCGCCGATTCCTCCAACAAACCCGCCGCCCTCCAGCCTCTCCTCCCCCTCCATCCGCCACACCTCTCCTCCCCCTCCATCCTCTCCTCCTCCTCCCTCCACGTTCGACCCGCCGATTCCCCTCCACAGTACTACACAAAGCCCACAAGCAGTCCTCCAGGGAGAGTGCCGATTCCTCCAGCCGATTCCCCCTCCAGCCTCTCCTCCCGCCGATCTCTCTCATTCTCCTCCAAGGTAATGCTTTGACCACATTTCCTTTCAAAATTCCGGATTTGTTTTAGTAAAGTCGTTTCCTTTTCCGCCATTGTGCATTCGAAGTTGGTGCCTTTGATTTCTGCTACTAGTGAGTGCTTTTTTTATTTTTCCCTCACTGATGGGTCTGTTGGTCCGGTTTCGGCATTGAATTTGGTCTCTGGGGTCGTTTAAGCTAGTCCGCATTTGCTTACTAGTTTAATGCACTCTGGGGTTTGGGATTGGTGACCAGTCTCGCTTGATGACCAGTCTTGCTTGTGATGATGAATTGGAGTGGTTTGGTAATGTTTTGTGAACATTGGACAGATTTGTTGCTTTATTGTTTTGATTGCAAATGATGTCTTCTTTTGTTTTGTTTGATGTCAATTTGTTGGTGATATCTTATTTCGTATTGAATTGTAGCGTGATAAGCGATGGCTGATATTGATGTCGTAAACAATAATGATTGTGTCATACTTGAGGGAGCTGAGGTTTGGCCTGATAAAGTAGTCGAGTATTTTATTGCTTTGATGCTCGAGGAAGTAAAGAAGGGGAACAAACATACGACAACTTTCACTAAATTGGGATGGTCTAACATCGTAAATGGGTTGAAGATTAAGTTCAACAAGGACTATGCCCCAGATCAGTTGAAGAATAAATTTAATTTGATGAGGAGGAAACACCGGGAATTCAAGGACTTAATCAGCCAGACTGGAATTAGTTACTCTTCTGTAACAGGAAGGATTGCTGCCTCTGATGAGCAGTGGAAGGTGTGGAACGAGGTATTTGACATTTTTAGTCATTGTGATTGAATTGAAAGTAGTATTTAGGAAAGAGGAATTAATTAGAATGTTGCATTTGCAGCGATACAAGATGATGGGGACTATTAGGAAGCATGGATGTCCAGAGTATGAAAACCTGTGCATATTATTTGGTGATACAACTGCCTCTGGTGCGAATGCTGTTGCTTCTACTCACGAGGTCTCAGATAGTAGTGGTGGACCTAGCAAAGGGATTGATGTGGATCTTGATGGTGAGGAAAATTTGGGTGGAGTCTCTGGTTGTGCCAAGGAGACGTTGCCCAAAGTGAAGGGTAAAGGAAAGAAGAGAAAAGCAGCTAAATCTGGCTTTACCAATGCAGTGGAGAATGCCATAATCAGCATGGCTGAAGACTCCAAAAGGAAGAGTGAGAGGCGTGAAGCCAAGGAGGCCGCCTCTTCGGTTGGAGGTCCTGTGCATGATGTATCTTCACAGGATAAAGAGCTTGACATTATGACTGAATGCATGAATTTACTAGATGAAATGGAGGTGGAGGCTAATGTATTTGTGAAGGCTTTCGATATTCTACATGATTGTCCACTGAAGAGAGGACTTTTCTTGCGTATGACAGAGAGGCGAAGGAAAGAATGGTTGTTGAGTTTAGTGTGACTATGAGTGTTTGTTGAGAACTGCAGTGACATTTGTTTGTTGAGTGTTTGACGAGTTCTTACTGTGATGTTTTTATGAATTTTAGCATATGATGTTTGATGACTTTTAATATTATGTTTTCTTATTGTAAGAATCTTATGAACTAAGTTGTAATTGAATGCTTGAGTGTTGTATTTGGGTTATTATCCATTTCTAATGAAGTTATTATGCATTGCAGAACTTATGAATTTAGATTCAGATTCAGATTCAGATTCCGATGAAGAGTTGAAATTCATAATGCTTGTGGCTTTGTTGGAGAATGAGCGATCTAATTCTATTAGGATGCCATATAGAACCTCAGTGCAAACAGGACATGCTTGGGTTCAAGAACTTCTCCGTGGGCATCCGATTAGGATATATGAATCACTCCGAATGGATAAAGAAATTTTCTTGGCTTTGTGTGAGGAATTGAAGCAACATGGTGGGTTGAAGGATACAACTAATGTGATGGTCATAGAACAAGTTGCAATCTTCCTCAAGACTATAGGTCACGCAAATGACTTCCGCGACCTTGCAGAACGGTTTCAACATTCTACTGCAACCATCTCAAAGTACTTTAATCTAGTGTTGAAAGCAGTGGTGAAACTTGCAAACAGAGTCATTGTTCCCCCAAATCTGGAAGTTGTTCCCGAAAGAATAATTGATTCAAAACATGATCCATATTTCAAGGTAAGCAATTCTCTTTATGATTGAGGATTAATATTCGAATGTACTTTAATTATGACACTTACTCACATTGTTTCAGGATTGCATCGGAGCAATAGACGCAGTTTATATTGACGCAGTGGTTCCGAGTGGTGAGCAGATTCCATATCGAGGACGGAAGACGACTACTACTCAGAATGTAATGGCTGTTTGTTCTTTCGATATGCTCTTTACCTTTGTGATGGCTGGATGGGAGGGTACAGCAAATGATGCAAGAATTCTTACTGAAACCGTTTCCAACCCATCTAACAACTTTCCCATGCCACCGCGAGGTACGATATGATTGTCTCTTTATTTTAGTAGTTATAGTACACATTTCATATGACTAATTGATTTTATATCTTATAGGTAAGTATTATGTTGTTGATTCTGGATATGCAAACATTCCTGGGTTTCTAGCGCCATATAAGACAAAAGAAGCACGTCATTTTCAAGATATCGATCGTGGAGGTGGACCAAAGACTCGTAAACAACTTTTTAACTATTATCATTCATCTCTACGCAATGTTATCGAGCGTTGTTTTGGAGTTTTGAAGGCTAGATTTCCCATTTTGAAGCATATGCCTCCTTTCGATCTCAAGAAACAAGCACACATTGTTCTTGCATGTTGTGTTATACATAACTTTATTAGGATCCACTCTGGTGACGACACTCTGTTTGAAGGTGCTCAAAATTATTGCACGGGGGAGAATGCCAATGGAGTGAAAGGAGGACAAGAACGAGAAGCATATAATCATAGTTCAAGCCAAACTCGAGCGATGGATGCGCGACGAGATGGAATAGCAAACAAGTTGTGGGATGACTTTCAAGCTGGACTTATTTGAATTTTTATGTTGTACTAGTACTTAATTAATATAAGATGTTGTACTTGTATTGTGTTTATTAGTTTAAAAACTATTTAATTCGAATTAAAAATTATAATCATGGCTAGGGTTGTATGATAATCCAGAATCAGAAAACAGAATGAAGCAACTAAACAGGTTTTCTTTTCAGAACTCAGTTTCAGAACTCACCAAAATTCTCAGCTAAACAAGGTTTTTTCAGGTTTTGTTTTCCAGGAAATGGTCAGCTTCGTTTTCATTTTAATTTTGTTTTCTGTTGTGGCAGCTAACAGAAATGGAATGGCAAGTAAACGGCTTAGTTTGGCAAAACAAAGTTGATTTTCGGATTTGGGGTAAGCCGAGAAAAACAAGGTGTCATTACGTGGCAGGTTTCTTTTTATGCCATTATTAATAAAATAATAACAAATACAGAAATAGAAAGGTTGATTAACGTGTACCACTTGTGAGAGTTGTAAAGAATTGAGTGTTGGCTTATTTTTAAAGCCAAAATAAGGTTGCCTCGTTAGGTTTTTTATATAGTGGTATACTTGGTGTCAAACCACTTAGTCCATAATTCTTGGGGGTTGCTATTCGTCGCCCTAAAAATTCTTATTCGTCGCCCTAATTAAGTAAATTTTTACTCTAATACCCTCGGTTCGATAAAGTTAAACTACTTTGTTTCCTAGCTCGTTCTAGGCTCGCAGAGTGCAGTTGGTTTCCTATTGCATAGCGCATGTCTGATCCTATTAGCTCATTTCCATGATTTTTTTTTCTTGACAAAGGCGTTTCCATTTGATTGCTTCGCATCTGCGCCAGAATTCTGCAATGTCAGAAAGCATACTACTCAAGTGACCCGTCAATTGGAATTTGGTGAATAACTTGCGTATTGCTAAGAAACTCGGTATCCTTTTGGAGCTACAGCCTACAACACTTGATGAACCTTCATTGCTGCAGTTATCGACTTATCGTGTAGGAAAATTAATTGATCAATAAACTTAAATAGAACGAGAGGAAGTTAAAATATGTTCGTTAGTTATCTTTTCCCTTGTTTTGCTTGACCAAATGAGTCCGTTAGAGAATTGTTTGTTCTCGGCGGATCTGGAATTCTGAATTGCGTCGCCGGCCGCGTCCAGAGCATCGGGATCCCGGCGCAAATTAACTTATCTGCAATTGTTTGGTTTGGTTTTAGGGATAATAAAAATTTTGTTGAGGGGTAAATATGTCAATTTAGTGCGTTTTAGGGCGATAAATTTTGAATTTTAGGGCGACGAATAGCAATTCAGTAATTCTTATGCACTTAGTGGTTGGGGGCAATTGTTTACCACTAAAATTTAACTTATACCATATCGATTAAAACAATAAATTAAATGATTTTATAAGATCAATTTAATTATAACAATTAAAATCAATTAAGATGAGCCACGTGGATTGGATATTTGGGACCATGGCACCGAAATTTGGCTAAGTGTTGGAGCCAACCCAATGATGTACCAAGGGGTGGGTACCATACAACCACCCCCAGGACGTAGGGATGGCAACAAAATCCGAACCCACGGGTACCCACTCGACCCAACCTGGTCAACGCGGGTAAAATCCGTGTTGACGGGTTTTGGGCCGGGTTTGGGTTTAAACCCGTTCACTATTCACCGGGTTGGGTTGAGTTTGGGTTTAGGTAAACCCGACCCATGGGTACCCGCCCACACCATATAATAATTTTCTTGGTATATTTAATATTCTAAACAACTAATCTTATTTATGTTTGTGGAGACATGTCTAATTTTTTCTTTCTAATTGTGTAGAATGAAGTTGATGTTATCGAGTGGAGAACGAAGAAACTTAATTGAAAGGAAGAAGCTTTCAATTAATCATGTTATTTATGGATAATTTGTGATTTGCTTCAATTTTCTTGAGTATTCTAGATTGGTGTTGAACAATTTGTAAAGTTAATTTGTGATTTGCTTGTATTTTCTAGAATGGTGTTTTATATATGGATAATTTG